AGGAGCAGCTAGTCTAAGAGGCTCACAATTTTCTTCAAATTCATGCGACCAAATGCGGGAAAAAATAGTTGGTGCCTCTCCGAGGAAGAAGCGCACAGCGTTCAGGGCTGCAAACAATGAGCATTCAAAGACAACGGGCGGGTAACAGAAAGGGACCATTTAATTAAAAGAGCAAACACATGCACGACGGCGGTACCTTTAGAGACAATTTCATCAGGATGGAGTGCGAGGATGGCGTAAGCGGAGACCCACTCATCGGTCTTACCGTCGCGGGTCAGAGACCGCGCGATACACTGGTAGACGCCCAAGTTGCTCTCCTTCACTGACTCGATGACTAACACGGTGGCTAGAAAGAGAGGGGAAATACGTCAGCAAGGCCGTGTAAATAAATAAATAAATATTATGGGCAGTAATGCATTACGAACAAAGACAGGGGAGCCTGGAATGCCCATTTCTGGCTTATTAGCCGTCATCAGGTAGCCATATCCAGCCCCAAGTAGTGCGCCACTCGAGGCTCGAACCCGCTACCTATTGATTAGAAGCCCAATATATTTGCTTTGATCCATTTGTGAAAAACTAGGCAGCTTCGGTGGGATTCAAGCCCACGCCAGCAGGGGAAGGCTTAAGTACAGCCAACGCTCTAGCCAAATTATTTATCGAGAATCCCACCGGGAGCCACGACTTTAATCGCACATGGGTCGATTTACCCACCCAGCCTACTGCAACGTATGGAATCCACCAGTTCTGATACAGTAAACCGACTGCCCAGACAGAAATGCATAGGCAAGCAACCTAGAATCGACTAAGTCGATGCGGTTATATTAGGAGGTTTTACGCGTTTTTGCTGGGGTTCTCCCTGTCCAGGAGAGGGGAAAATGGCGAGACAGTGAGGTTCAACATGGTCTAACATGAATTTGTGTTTGTTGTTAGGTCGTGGGCACAAGGAAATGAACGGGGTACGTAGGCTTTTGTAATGAGCAGCCAGATCGGCATGACGTCTGCTTGTCTGTCCGCATATGTCCTGTTGCACTATCTGGTCTAATCTAATCATTACAATTTTTCCTCTGCTCATTTCTCCTGACGACGGGTTGATGTCGCCAACTTGAAAATTCGCGAATACAAGTCGATTTTTCGAGGGCCTTCTTTCTTTTCATTATAACATCTAGGAGGGCAAACTACTTCAGTTATTCAACAAATTTTACTGTGAAGTGGGGCCGACAAATACAAGGGAGACCGGAATGGCAATTGTTGGCTTATTAGCCATTATCAGTCACTCATAGCCAAGCGCAGGGGTGGCGATCCCCGAGTGCAACATTCTACCATTGTACCACGGACTCGTTGCTTTTGTCGGTTGGGATCGGAAATATGGTGAATGGTGATGCGCTCACCAAGCTCGTTACTGGCCATGTTCGTCCCGATCAGCATATATATAAATCGCTACGCGACTGCCTCCAGGGGCTCTAGATTAACCTCCAAGGAAAAACAGGACGAGCATGTTGCATAACCAGATCGGTGAGCGTCCTACCAGTCATATATAACTGCATGAAGTTTACAATTCCGAAAATGATTAAGGGCGAGACTTTGAGTTACGTGCCTCGAGAGCATACTGACCGGTATGGTCCGTACCTGGTTAGTACTCCC